GCTCTATTATTTGCTGGTTTAAATTGAATTTTGTGCAGAGATTTAAAAGCTCGTGTGTGTGTGAGTTTTCATCAGAGCTGCATCCTGGTGTTATTACTGCAACAATATTATTTGCTATATTCCTCCATTTTAGGTGCCTTAAGTTGAAATCCCCCAGGAGCAAGATGTTGGGTGCAGGAGCTGGAAGATTTTCCAGACAGTGGTCAATTTTTAACAGTTGTTCCTGGAATTTCTGGGATGTTGCATCCGGAGGCTTGTAGACTACCACAATGACTAGGTTTTGGTTCTCGACCTTTACTGCTAAAACTTCCACTACATCATTTGAGGCATTAAGCAGTTCTGTGCAAACAAGTGACTCTGCAATGTACAGGCCAAATATCCCCCTTTTGCCTGTTCTCTCTGTCACATCTGTAAAGGCTGTAACCTGGGATCCATATTTTTATGGATCCCAGGCACATAAAGTGATCCTTTATGTGCGTCTCAGTGAAAGCCGCGAACACTGCATTTGCCTCTGCAAGCAGTCCACGGATGAAAGGTATTTTGTTGTTTGTTGCTGGCTTTAGACCCTGTATATTTGCAAAGAAGAATGTCATCAGACTGGTGGTATTGTTGGTACTGGGGGGGATTTTTTTCCGGCATTAGTATCTGTATCTGCTGGTTTGGAGTGGAGGCCATCGACTGTGGTTCCACTCCAGGAATGACTGGATTTGGTGTACGATTTCTGCCATTTCCTGCCAGTTTTTTTTCCTTCCTGGCACTAAAAAACCTCTCCCTCTTGAGTGGCTGTGGCTACCCAGGTTTTCCCATGGCCTGGATGTTTTGTATCTTTTTGTCCCCTTTAGATGGTGTGCCTGGCAATTTAAGTTATAGCACAGTCTTTCCTGTACTGAAGAGGTACACATTTCAGGGTGAAAAAGCTTACAGGAAGGGAGTTTGCATTTTCCTGTTGTCATATGGGCATGGCATTTTCTAGGGTGGTCATAGTTGCACGTCCCGTCTGTTTTTCCAGATTTCCCATGTCTGCAGATACCAAGTGCATAGTATGTGCACAGGCTTGGTTTCCGTTTGCCTTGGGTTTCTGTGACTGTATTCCCTGTTGGTGCATGTTTCCCTGTCTTATTCCTATCCTCCCTAGCACCAACAATGGAGCTCCCACCAGTTGTTTTTAGTAATATATCCTCACTATTGCTAGTGGAGTCCTCTTGTTTGCTATTTCCTGTGGTATTTCTAGTTTGCAATATTGGTTTTATCTTATCTTTGACTACACTTGTTTCCCCACTACGGCTCCTGTCCCCTATGAGGTCATTTATATGTATTCCTTCCTGCGTAAGTTTCTGGCGACTTCTGGCACCTGCCTCTATAGGCTTATCACTTCATTTACAAATTCACCTGTTTTCAAATGACACTTTAGCCTTTATCATTTATATACTAGGGAGCCACTGTAGTATACACTATACACTATGTATACACAATGTTATCAGGGAGACTTTCTTTCCTCTGACAAAGAAAAGTTCTATTATTATTATTTTGCACACTGAACACAGGCCTATGATTCCCCTCTGGCAGTAAACTCTGCTAGGTAGTGCACACTAATTCTCCTTTTTTGACTCAGTATATAATGTTTTCCGCCCAAGATTGGTTCCAGGCGCTAGAGGGATGTATCGTATAGGATTGATGGCACAAATTAAAGTTCTAGCACGTAAGAGCAACCGTGTAAACACGAGAAAACCCGGAGCACAACGAGGCACGCTGACACGTAGTATCTGTGTCTATTGGTAATCCCCCTTATGTATGCTGGGAGGCAGTTGAACAGTCTCGGGCCCCTGACACTTACTGTATTGTCTCTTAACGTGCTAGTGACACCCCTGCTTTTCATTGGGGCAATGTTGCATCGTCTGCCAAGTCTTTTGCTTTCGTTGTGAGTGATTTTCGTGTGCAAGTTCGGTACTAGTCCCTCTAGGATTTTCCAGGTGTATATAATCATGTATCTCTCCTGCCTGCATTCCAGGGAATACAGGTTCAGGAACTTCAAGCGCTCCCAGTAATTGAGGTGTTTTATCTCGGTTATTGCGCCCCGTGAAGGTTCTCTGTACATTTTCTAGGTCAGCAATTTCACCTGCCTTGAAAGGTGCCAATATCTCAAACCCCTCCTTTAAAGTACAGGCATTGTACTTCCCATTTCCATGACTCAAGTCCGGCTAAGTGATTTCCCTGAATCCCTTCACAAAATATTACCCTGCTCACATTCCAACAGTGCATCAGGTCCCAAAAACTGTTCATCTCCATTCACTCCTATCTAATATGCTTATGCACACTTGCTGGAAGTCCAAGTCCCTCACCCACAAAACCTCCTTTATCCCCTCCCTCCAACCTTTTTGAGGACAACCCCTACCCTGCCTTTCTTTTCCTACAGATTTATACAGTCTCCAAGTCATTCTACTTTGTTCCATTCTCTCTAAATGACCACACCACCCCAACAACCCCTCTTCAGCCATATGACTAATACTTTTAGTAACTCCACACCTTCTCCTAATTTCCACACACCGAATTCTCTGCATAATATTTACACCACACATTGCCCTTAGACACGACATCTCCACCGCCTTCAGCCTCCTCCTCGCTGCAGCATTTACAACCCATGCTTCACACCCATAAAAGAGTGAGGGTACCACTATACTCTCGTACGTTCCCTTCTTTGCCTCCATGGATAACGTTTTTTGTCTCCACAGATACCTCAATGCACTACTCACCTTTTTTCCTTCATCAATTCTATGGTTAACCTCATCCTTCATAAACCAATCTGCTGACAAGTCAGATCCCAAATATCTGAACACATTCACTTCTTCCATACTCCCTCCAATGTGATATTAAATTTTTCTTTATCTAAATCATTTGATACCCTCATCACCTTACTCTTATCTATGTTCACTTTCAACTTTCTACCTTCACACACCCTCCCAAACTCATCCACTAACCTTTGCAACTTTTCTCTAGAATCTCAAAAAAGCACAGTATCATCAGCAAAAAGTACCTGTGTCAACTCCTATTTTGTATTTTTTCCCCATAATTTAATCCCATCCCTCTCCCCAACACCCTGGCATTTACTTTTACAACCCCATCCATCAATATGTTAAACAACCATGGTGACATTACACATCCCTGTCTAAAACCTACTTTTACTTGGAAGTATTCTCCCTTTCTCCTACATACCCTAACCTAAGCCTCACTATCCTCATAAAAACTCTTTACAGCATTTAGTAACTTACTACCTATTCCATACACTTGCAACATCTGCCACATTGCTCCCCCCTATCCACTCTTATCATATGCCTTTTCTAAATCCATAAATGCAATGAAAACTTCTTACCTTTATCTAAATACTGTTCACATACTATATGCTTCAATGTAAACACTTGATCAACACATCCCCTACCCATTCTAAAGCCTCCTTGTTCATCTGCAATCCTGCTCTCTGTCTTAGCTCTAATACTTTCAATAATAACCCTACCATACACTTTACCTGGTATACTCCGTAAACTTATTCCCCTATAATTTTTACAATCTCTTTTGTCCCCTTTCCCTTCATATAAAGGAACTATACATGCTCTCTGTCAATCCCTAGGTACCTTCCTCCCTTTCATACACATATTAACCCTTAAACAGTCCAAACGTATATATACGTTCACATGCACAGTGCCCCAAACGTATATATACGTTTTAATTTTCCTGCCTCCAAATTTGGCACGATTGCCCTGAGATGCCTGGTCAGCATAGAATGGGTCTTAAATCTCGGTGTGCACCATATTAAAAAAATCTGGGACCACTTAGTACCTTGTGCTCTTTTTTCCTATAAAAAATAACCATTCTTTTTTTTTTTTCAAAATATTCGGGGCGCTGCGCAAGTGAACGTATATATACATTTGGACCGTTTAAGGTTTTAGCAAAAATACCAACCTCTCCAACACCATATCTCCTCCTGCTTTTAACATTTCTCTCATGATCCTGTCAGTGCCATCTGCTTTACCCCTTTCCATTCTACATAATTCTTCACACACCTTCCCCCACTCTCACATCCTGCTCTTCTTCACTCCTAAAAGATGTTATACCTCCCTGGCCAGTGCATGAAATTACTGCCTTATACAGGCTTATCCCTCTATAATTCTTACATTCTCTTATGTCCCCTTTTCCCCACCCTCATACAAGGGTTCTAAGCATGCTCTTTACCAATCCTTAGGTACCTTCCTTTCTTTCATGCATACACTAAACAAATACACCAACCACTCCAACACTCTGTTTCTACCTATTTTTAACATCTGTCTTAATCCCCTTCTATCCCAGCTGCTCTATCCCCCTTTCATTCTACTCACTGCTTCATGCACTTTCCCCACATCCACCTCAGCCTCCTCACTTATATATATGATGTTATCACTGCTCAGTGCATGAAATTACCATCTCCTTTCATCACTAACATTCAACAACTCATCAAAATATATTTTCCGTATTTCCAGTACCTCTCTCTTCCCATCTAATATCTCCCCTCCTTTGTTTTGAACTGCCAAATCCATTTGATCTCCAGGTTTCCTCATTTTATTAATGTCTCTCTAAAACTATTTCTTTTTCTCAGTAAAATTGGCTAATAATGATGCACCCATTCTCTCACTGGCTCTCCTTTGCACTCCCTCACCACTTTCTTAACCTCTTTGTTTTCCACATACACTACTCTGCCTTCTGTATGTCATTCCTATTATCTGCCTCGGTGCTGGAGACAGATAATAGGAATGATTGTGAAAATCTCTGATATGCTAACTTGTTCTTCCTTACCACCCTCTGTTTCATCATTCCAGTATACACACACATCCTATTAACCATAACATGCTCAAGGTAAAGGATTGTACCAAATAAAACACTAAACCCTTTCCCAGTTGCAAATGTTCCATTCATTCTATAACTTCCCATGGCTTGCTTCCCATTCCTCCAACTGCTCTGCCTTTGATGCTTACCTTGAATTGTGCACGGGCATCAGCCACAGCCTTCTCTATGAACTCATCAGAAATCCTGCGTGAAGGGTGTTCATTGAAGACAGAATTCATGAGGGCAATCTTGGCAGCACTTCGACGTGCCTCAGCTTTCGTTGGGCAGTTCTGCAATGGTTACATATTGAACAGAGTCAAATATATTCTACCTGGATAAAAAGCAAAACTTAAAATACTGTAATACTGAAAGCAATACTATGTTGTTCTATATCTGTCACAAGACCTGAACAATTTCATGCAACAGATTAAATGTAGTAAAAGTGTCTTGATGCTAAAAAGTTCTTGACTCAGGAACTGGAGTTACCATCTCTTTCCATGAATCAAACCTGATTATCTCCCATTTTCTAGACAGTATGTTCCTTGGAAGTTTATCCCTTTCCTGTGAATGTAATAATCCTGTACAAAAATAATTTCTATCGGACCTATAGAAATGATAAACCCTCTAACTTGCTATTTACACACCTCGAGCTTACATCTGCTTTGTCAAGATGTCGATCTACAGCAGTCGAGTGACAATGTACAGATTATGCGTATGGCTGGCTTATGACTTTGGCAATCCTCCCCAAGTGCATTTCGGCATTATCAATCCACTGCTACTTCTAGCTGTGCAGTATTTCTTAATATCTGGTGCATAAGATTAACAAAGACTTCTGTAGTAGTACTCAGTGACCAGGAATTGTCTGGTGAGCACCTCAGTACAATACTGTTTCCAAAACAATTATAAATGTTATTTACACTACCACCCTTCATATGAGAATCCCTGTTGTCAGTGAGGGGCTTGTGATTCAAGTAATTTAACCTGAGTTCCCCTTCCTTGGATCAAACCCAATTGCCTTTTATTATGCAGGTGCTGTATGGGTTTAGCTCTCCCCCCCCCCCATCCATTTATTTTATTTATTTATTTATTTTATGTCTTTGCAAACAGTACATTGAGATTTTGTATTTACAATAGTGGGTTGCAATGCAAAGAGAGCCTCTATTATGCCTAGGCATTATGGGCCAACTTAACATTATTTATTTATTATTTATTTATTATTTATTTAATGTCTTTGCAAACAGTACATTGAGATTGTGTATATACAATAGTGGGTTGCAATGCAAAGAGAGCCTCTATTATGCCTTGGCATTATGGCATGCATTAATACATTGTGCAGATCATTCCCTATTCCCATTGTCTTTACATGGTTTCCATTTTATGGCTTCCCAAACCTATTGTTTTCCTTTCTTCAACTCCTAAATATAGACATAATACATTACATTAAAAAATCTAGGAGTTGTTAGCAAACACTAATTTACCTTCACTGAGCTTTCGTAGCTACTTATATAAGAAGGTATAAACCTATATGTATATTGTTTTAGACAATATGAAGATTTATATCCAGCAAGGGATATAAACCTCTGTATTACTTTTCATAATATCAACCTGTCTGCTTTTTCACTTCAATTGCCATACTCTGTAGGTTAGATGTCATTCATCATCAGGGATTGCATTTATCCTGGGACCTCGAAGTTTGCTCAAAGTCTAAAGCCTATATGCAGAATCCTTCATGGTGAGACCACCAACATACCCACTCTTTATTTTCTTGTTTATTATTTTGGCTTTCACTTTCCTACAGTCTACAAAAATTTTACAGATGTAAGTAAAGCAAACAGATTTAAATATCACCAAGCTTTATTATGTCCCTTCCATCTATCATGCCGAGCATGCATGACGGATGAAAAAAAATTAATTCAGGAGTAATGTCCTAATAAAAACAACTTAACCTAAGACATGTACAGTATAACAAATCATAAGCAAGGACACTACTGGCACCAATACATGGTTCAACCTGATGTCCCTTCAGGGCAGGTACAGGAAAGCTTTGCTTATACAGCAGGTTAGATTCCAGGCTACTGCTGTAAAGTGGAACATAGCCTTTTTTCACTTTTAAATGCATGTTTACAATATCATATATTAAGTGAGCAATAGAGCTAGGCCTTAAAAATAGATATACGTACAGTACACATATTACTTACCTTAAAATATTTTTGTCCTTAGCTTATAGTGAGTGTTGAATATATTTATTGTAGGAAGTCTGAATAAATGAAGAATGGGTATAATTGACAACCACTGCATTAGTGAAATGCCATTAAGCAGGGTATGCTTGTACCATGCTGCTGGTGAAAAAGCTCCTGAGCCAAGGAATTGGAACTACTCTCTTCTTTCTTGGATCAAACCTAATTACCTTCCATTCTGTATGTGCTGTATAACCCCTACAAGTTTAGCTCTTGCTCATGAATACACATTCATAACACCAGTCAACAAAATTTTCTGAAGTTTTAAATATGTACATTTTTCCAAAACCATCTTAAGCTCCAATTCCAATTCTGTTCCTATTTTTACAAGTACATCTAGTTTTCAAATGGTTTATTAACATTTAAAGCTATTTATGGTTTAAAGAATGCAAGTATCTTGCTGATATGCTTGTACCTCTTACACTGGGCTTGGGATGTTTTTATAAATTGCTGCAGACCCTTTTAGACTGAGCCTCATGCTGGTGGGGAGAAATCATTTGCAGAAAGAGCCTTTTCTTTTGTAGCTCCTGTAATGCATAACAGGTTACCAGTGTTAAAAGTCATGAATCTTTTCATGCTTTGAAGTCTCATTTGAAAGCACATTTCTTTTTTAGAGCTTGCAATCCTGCTGATCATACAATACTATCACTTCTTCTTAAATATAAACTTCAGTATTCCTTTTTAACATTGTTGTTTGTAAGATTTTGTGTGAGCGCTTTTGAATTTCTCAAAGGAACAGGCCAAAGAATTAATTTTAATTTTAACAAATTAAAATATAATAAATCACATATGAGGATAATTACTCATAATCTAATACCGAATGAACACATGGAAAAGGCATGTACAATAATTCCTCAAGACTCTCATTGCCTAACAATTGTCACTCGTGAATACATCAGCATGTACAATACATACAACACCATTATCTAATTCAGGCAGCCAATGACGAATCCGACCAAGTGGACAGACCCCAACAGCAGAAGTCTACCTCATTTAAGGGGCTGACAATCTCTTGACAACTATACATGGTAGGAGAAAAACCGGAAACAGTTTTGGAATCAGCGTCAAAAAAATCTATACAGCACACCAAAAATTATCTCTGATGAAAATTCTTTGTGGATCAGTAATTGATCTGATGTAACTCATGGACAACTAAATATGCATGGCCAATGGGTTTAGCACTTTCTTGTGAATATAATAGTAATAAATTGGGCAACATACCTGGAAGGAGCCGAAGCAGGAACCTCCTGGAAGAGTGACGTAACAGACGTAAGGAGGGGAGGAGGAAGGGACGGACTCATAGATGACAAGAGCACCATTCTTGAGCTCTGCTCCCCTCTGGGCCTTCATCTGCCAGAATTCCTGCAGTGCCTCCACCACATTCACTGCAATAAAGGTAACCACTGAGAAACTGCACTATTGAGCCACTGCCACATGAGCCAGTGGTATTCACCCTCCCTCAGAAAAAATCACAATGGAGCTTACCTACCCACCCAAGTACCCATTTACCCCCCCCCCACACACACACACACAAGTCTGTGAAATATTGAACAAACAATTCAAAGGTCTCAGTGGAAACTGGAACACCAGAAAGCCAAGAAAAAAAAAAAGAGTATACAACTAGGTACTGAATACCATACACAACACAGGAAGAGGAAAAAAAAACTTTGATGGAGTTAGATACATCAAAGACAATGGGATCTGACAAGATGTCAACATGGATTCTGTGAATGAGAGCAGAAGCATTGTCCAAATCACTAGCTAAGATCTACAAGCTGCCTACAAACACAGGGCAGTTGCCAGAGATCTAGAAGACAATGAATGTAGTACCAGTCCCTACATTCCAGAAAGGAGACAGGCTTCCTAGGAAGAACTGAGCTATAGGGCAGTTTTGCTGACATACATAACTTGCAACATAATGAAGAGATAGTCAGGAGAGTGGTAAAGCACTTGGAGAGAAGTGGTTTTACATCATGGGTTCAAAGATGGTAAATCTTTTCTTATAAACCTGCTGGAATTCTGTGACAAAGTAAACGAAGACAGGAGAGAAAGAGAGAGTTGAGTGGATTGCATTTTAAGAATGCAAGAAGGCATTTGATACAGAACCCCACACGAGACCGAGTTTAAAACTCAAGCCGCAGACATTAACAACAGGGAACGTACTCTGGTGGATCAAAGAGTACCTCAGAGGAGGGAGGCAAAGAATGATTGTATGGGGAGAGACATCAGAATGGGTAAAGTGTAAGAAGTGGGTGTCATAGTAATGGAATATTAAGTTCACCTAGTGTCATATCTTAGAAATGTAAAGGCTGAGTTTGAGTGGCCCATAGGTCAGTGATGTCTGACCTGTGGCAGTTCATACCCTGTAACCACTTGGGGGCATGAGACAGTTACAATGTAGGCATCAGTGAAGCAGGATGTGCTTTGCAGACTTCACACCATTTCTTCTCAATAAACCTGGCCAGAGCAGTTGCGTATTTTTCAAATGTTCCAATTACATTCAGATACTCACCAATAATGTGAAGACTTGTCTGTGTGCTCTCTGTGAATCTGAACCAAGATGTCCTCTCTTGAGCAACTCTACCAGCAGCTAAAAGAGGAGCTTAGGGTTGCTAAGCTCGAGATATGGCAATTGACAGAGGAAAACAAGAGGATTCATAGCAATCCTCATGATGTGAGTCCTCAGGTCAAGAGGGGAACCTGGTCAGTGGCTGGGCAACATGAAACAAAGCTGAAGATCAAGAAGATTATTGGAGCAGCAGACACAACGAAGAACCAGAAGACTACTGTGGAAACTTCCAATCCATTTTCGGTGCTACCCGACGAATGTGGGTTGTCTACTGGGAATGTCACAACGAACACCAAGGAAGCAGTGGCAGACGAGAGTGAGTCGACATTCCTCGAAAACCCAATGAAGACCATTGAGAACGTCACAACGAGCTCTGCCAGTGAAGGAAAGAACATTGTTTTAGTTGGGGACAGTCAGGTTAAGTTTATGGATAGGGCCTTTTGCCTTAGGGACAGGAAGAGGAGGCAGAGGTTTTCCTGGGGCTGGGATGGAGGATATTGTTAGCCATCTAGACAACATCATGAAAGGTATGGGAGCAATCCTATTATCTGCCTCAATGCAGGAGGCAACGGTGTAGGCAGACGTAGGAGTGAAGACCCAATTAGCAGGTATGGGACAGCAATAGAGATAATTAAGAAGGGTGGGAACACTGTGTGTGAGGGAAAAGTTCAATAGATAGGAGTAGCGAGGGAGTGTATAGTAACAATAGTTTCATTGCCGGCTACTTGTTAAGGTAGGGTAAGTCCAGCTCCTGCTATTCCTCCTTCCCCCTTTTTCCCCCTCCCCGAAAGTGATAGTTTGATTGCCGGCTGCTTGTTAAGGTAGGGTCAGTCTAGCTCCCGTTATCCCTTCCCCTCCCTCTTCCCCCCCCCCGAAAGGTGACGTGTGGGGCTCCGGTCAAACAGTAAATCACTCGACTCACAGCTCCCAACACTACTCTTGGAATGACAGAGAGGGTCACCTGCCAACCAACGAGAAGAATAGAAGGAGACGGGCTAACGTCCTGAGACGTCCCATGTTTAGTCTACTTACCTGTTATGTAAGCCAACACAGGACCTAACCCCTCATCATAGCAGTGGTAACGAACCTGTTTTCCTGTCATCTGAAGTAATTACACATGGTTATACTCTGTGAAGAACGAGCCAGTGGTGGTCACCAACACCTGCTACCCCCCCCCACATCAGCAACAGCTACGATTTCAACAACACTCAGTGTCACCAACACCTGACAGCCCATTACCACGATATACCTATATTAGCGTTGAGTTCAAATGTAATTTTTTTCATTTCATTTTTCATTTTTCTTTCAATTAGGATACCCATTCATGTTTTATTGTTTTACATTTTCCGTTTCTAAATAATAAAGTGTTTATCATTGTCTGTTATTATTTATTTTTCTATTCATTAATTTTCCTGAGGAGGAGCCAGCCTTGGTAATACTGACTGAAGTTGTTACAGGGCTGAGTAAGCCTTCACAAGTGGCGACCTTGCCAGGATCAACTCAACTGAATCAAGATTCAATTCCATCTCGAATCTACCATTGGAACTTCAACGCCGCATACCACAGACGGTTACCACCAGCCATGAGTAATCATTCTCTATGGTAGGACTACAGTACAGGTATTTAAAAGATTTGGTGATTGTTATAGTCTCAATTTATTGTAAGTCAAGTCAGGCAGGATATAATATTTAATTCTGCCACCTTTTCGAGCTTGAAACACTTTGGAGGATAAGACTCTAGGGACCCGAGATTTTCCAGTGACAATTTGTTTCATTGAGCTCTTTATTTTATCAAGGGAACTGTCGTAGGACACTCTTGATTTGTGGGTGAGAAGATTGGATGGTCAAGTGACCCCATTCTACTTACAGTTTGCTCGGAGCCGGCATAGAACCCTTCGTTTTAATTAATACATATTGTTTAATTGAAGTAGGGATCGAGCCCTCTGGTTTATTTACAGTTTGAGCGGAGCAGGATTTGAACCCTCCATTTTCTTTAATACCCGTTTCATTTCCCCTGATAGTTTAAGTTATTCTTGCAAGTATGGAGGAATACCAGTTTTGGATGAATGCTGGAAGTAAATTAGGAATAACAGGGAAAAATTTAGAATCTTTCATTAGTGCTAAGATCCAGGAAAGACTTGAAAGAGAGAGAGAGAAAATCGAAAGAGAAGAGAATAAGGAGAGAGAAAGAATAGAGAGAGAGAGAATCAAGAAAGACAGTTAGAAAGAGAAAGAGAGGATAAAAAGGAGAGAGATCGAATTGAAAGAGAAAACCAAGATAGACAGTTAGAAAGAGAGAGAGAAGACAAAAAGGAGCGTCATAGACTTGATCGTGAGGAGAGAGCTAAAGTACGTGAGGAACAAGTTAAATTAAGAGAACTTGAGGAAAGAGCAAAGGATAGAGAAGTTGAGGAAAAAGCTAGAGAATGTGAGGAAAAAGCTAGAGAACGTGAAGAAAAAGCTAGAGAACGTGAGGAAAAAGCTAGAGAACTTGAGTTAATAGAGAGAGAAAAGGATCGCGAGCTCGAAAAACCTCGCCTTGAATTAGAGAATAAAAAGTTAACTCTTACACTACAACAATTAGAGGAAGGAGTAATTGAACATCATGCAGCTAGTGCACATATTCCAACACCTAATTTACCTCCCTTCACAGAGGGTGACGACATAACTTCATACATTATCAGGTTCGAAAATACTGCTACCCTCTGTGAATGGCCTGCTGACACCTGGGCTACCAGGTTAGGAATGTTATTTTCTGGTACAGCTTTGAGTATCTATGCAAATTTGTCGCAGGATATCATATGTAATTATAACCTACTGAAGAAGGCAATCCTTAAAGCATATCAAAAAACCACAAATTCTTACAGGAAAGATTTCAGGTATGCCACCTTACAGCCTGGCCAGAACTTTCAGCAGTTACAGGTAACACTTTTTCGTTTGTTCGACTTTTGGATAGAGAGTTCAGGAATTGATCACAGTTATGAATCTCTTAGAGACTTCATGGTTGCTGACCAGTTCCTGACAGCTCTTCCCCACCAGATAAGAACATTCATTAGAGAACGTAACCTGATTAAAGCTGAGGAAGTTGCTGAGGCCGCTGACTTGTATGCTGAGGCTCACAATTCCTATAAAGACCTAAAGGGATCGAACCCTAAGGGCAAGGGTTCATCAGACCTTAAGAAATCAAAGCCTCTAGTGGAAAGTAAAGTGACTTCTTTTATTCCTGTTTGTCATTTGTGTGGTGTTAAGGGACATAAACATCCAGATTGTCCTTCTAAGAAGGTCCAAAAAGTTGGAAGATGTTTTAAAGACTGTAATGATCAAGCAACCTTCTGTTCAGGAGCAGTTAATGGTATAAAAGTCTCAGACATATTACGTGACACTGGATGTACGTGCATCGTAATTTCGGACAAACTGTTCCCTTACTTTAAAACCTCTCGTGTGTCCACTATTCTTTCAGATTACTTGGGACGTGAAAATACTTTTCCTACAATACGTTGTTACTTGAAAACTAAATGGTTCACCGGTTGGACTAATGCGGTACTAGCCCCAATTACTTGTTCTATAATAGTGGGTAACATTAAAGGTGCCGTTCTTCCTTCAGAGGCAGATCTTTCGTCGCCACCCGTGGATCTAAGTTTTCCAGCTCTTCTTCCTTGCAAGTTAAATAATCACCCTAACAATTCTGCACCGGAAGCTGCATTGTCTCGTACTGTTCATTTGGGGGTGGAAACAGATGATACTGCTCTCGATAGTGAGATTCTTCAGTGATAGATTATTCCCTACTTGTTGTTCCTAAACCATGTTGAGAGACTGT